TGGCCCTCAGGAAAAACATGGGGACTCTGCTGGTATCTTGATGGCACAGATAAAGGAGTCATTTTCAAGATCTTGCTAACAATAGAAAACCTGTACCCAAAGCCAGTAGGACCCAACGTAGTTCTCTCTGACCAAAAAGTTCCCTCCAATCATGAAAAGGTACCATCACCTCCTCCCCCCTCACCTCATCCTCGTCCATTTCCCTACCATACAAACACCGTGAGTACAGACTCCAGTAACAGAACTCTCCTTACTCCTTTTGGAGGAACAGGAGATAGATTGTTTAATTTGGTCAAGGGAGCTTATCTGGCCCTAAATGCCACAAATCCAAACCAAACCTTGGGTTGCTGGCTCTGCCTTACTTCCAGTCCCCCTTATTATGAAGGAATCGCCTTTCAGTCTGCTGCCAATAACCTTACTTCCCCGAGCAATAGGTATCAGACTAAGCCACATAAACTAACACTCCCTGAAGTCTCCGGACAAGGTTCTTGTTTGGGCAAGATTCCATCGACCCATAGTCACCTCTGTAAACAAATTCTGACACCTTATAAAGGGAGCTATTATCTTGAAGCCCCCAATGGGTCCTACTGGGCCTGTAACACAGGATTGACCCCTTGCATATCTGCTCAGATATTTGATGATTCCCATGAATTTTGTGTAATGGTCCAGTTATGGCCTTGTGTAACTTATCATCAAGAAAGCTCAGTGATGGAATTCTTTGAGCAGAGAGGCAGATACACTCGAGAACCTATGTCTATGACTATTGCCCTATTGTTAGGTATTGGGGGCATCACTGCAGGAATTGGTACAGGAACTACTGCCCTCGTGCAGAGCAACCACCTTATGCAGTTACAAATGGCTATGACTACTGACCTAGAGGCCATAGAAAGATCCATTTCTGCTCTGGAGAAGTCTTAAACCTCGCTCTCTGAGGTTGTGTTACAAAACAGAAGAGGTCTGGATTTACTATTTTTAAAGGAGGGGGGATTGTGTGCAGCCTTGAAGGAAGAATGCTGCTTTTATGCCGATCACACTGGGGTAGTCAGAGAATCAGTGGATAAACTAAGAGAAAGATTAGCACAAAGAAAACGTGATTTTGAAAATCAAAACAATTGGTTTGGGGGTTGGCTAAAGGGGTCCCCTTGGCTTTCTACTCTGATTCCCACCCTCTTGGCCCCCTTGATCATTTTCCTTCTCCTCCTCACCTTTGGTCCTTGGGTTTTTCAACGACTAACACAATTCATCAAAAATCAGATTGATTCGGCCTTATCAAAAACTGTTTCAGTACACTACCATCGGATAGAAACTCATGAGGAAACTATCGGAACAGGTGAAAAGCTCAGGTTCAGTGGCCTACGAACCTAAAAAACCCCTACAACTAAAAGCTAGAGGGTACTCAATGACGGAATAGTATGGGGCCTGTGCTGGGAGCACAACGTACAGAGGTCGCCAGAGACCGGCTCAACATGGCACGTTGCCAGACGCAGGATGCACCCCATATAGCCTAAGACAAGGGCCCTCTCGATTTATGACCAAAGCTTGCTTTGGCCATTTTATAGAAAGAAGGGGGAATTGTCAGGAGCCAAGTAGCCTAACTGATTCTCATGGGAAAAAGCTGTGTATCTAACCTTCCGTTAACAGTTTCAATAGCAACCATTTTTCAACAAGACCACAGTATGTACCTTTTGATCAACTCCCTGAAACATAATGGTTTGCTGTATGGTCCATTGATCAGGCCCTGGAACAAAGAGACCTTTTCCTGAACCCTACCTTACCCTAACTTCCTCCTAGTAACTTTCCATACCCCTATCTACTTCTCCTAGCCCCTAGCATATATAAGCCTGATTCCCCTTGCAATAAATGAGACCTTGACGTGACTCAGACTGACTTTGTCTTCTTTTATGCGCCTGGTCTCCTTTCTCTCTCGCCCCCATTGATCTTTCAGGAGGTGCCTCCTCGGGTCTCATCAAATAACCTGGCCTGCGGGATGGGTCAGCAATATGGATTCCCTCTATCCAAACTGCTTCAAGGTAGATTTTGGTGAATGCTTTCTGAGGCTCCAGTCTCCCTTGATTTGGTCAACAGTCAAAGAAATTTAACTGTTTTCACACTCATACCTCATCTATCGTCCTCTGACTTTGTTTCATCATTCTTTATCTTCAAGTGGAGCAAAATTTCTTTTCCAAAGAGAAGAGGCTTATGGCCTAGTTTAAGAAAAAAACAAAAACAGAGGACATCCCATGCTATGCCTAAAAATCATAAAGGCTACTTCCCACTGGGAAGCTCTCTCTCACCTCCATTTGGATGTCTTAGTCTCCCTTTGAGGAGCTTTCTTTCTCTTAATCCTCAAGCTTAAGCTTTCATTAAAAGATTTTTTTACTATACCACAAGCCCAAAATCCTGATTTGGCATGAGTTGGGTCCTAGAAAGTCTAGGGGAACTCTCCAGGCTGCTGTAGATGATAATGTACAGCTATGTCTCTGTCCCAACTAAGGTTTGTAGGTGCTCATGCCAGAATCCATCTTGAAGCATGGTTGGTGAGTTTGCCTGACCATCGCTCACCTTATCTTTCTTGCTAAGCATGGCTCGCAAGTTACCTTGAGTTCCCACTTAGTGTTGAAAGGTATCACTGGCACCAAAGATAGAAATCTAGACCCATCCAAACCCTAGATGAATAATATGTGACTTTTCTAGGAGACGTCTTCATAAAGGTTATGCTCCCAAATGTCCTGAGCCACTCTATGGCCTACAAGAGAAAATCCTGAGACACAATGGGGGCTGCTTGAGAAAGCAGCACATTCTGAATTCAAATTACATTAGGATAGTGTCATCTCCCCTAAACTACTCAAGGGACTTTCTGCTCCTTCCCTTATCTTCATGTTCTCTGTTTTATGGAAGATTAATTGCTTAGACAAGGGAGACCCTTCCTGCTTCCCCGCCCCTATGATTTTCTGACAAGGGGCTGACTTTTATAACTTTTAAGGCCAAAATAGGTGAAATCAGACTCAATGCCTTTTGATTTCTTAAGAGGCTAAAACTCCAGCTGTCTTTAGACTTTGTACCAGATGTGCATTAGGATCTTATCATGGCGGGAAACTTAGCATGTGTCCCCCAGATTATTGGTGGATGGAATCATTTCTGATCATAGGGACACTAGGGATGTCTAGAGGGAAAAGTAGCCACCTAAACATGGGTGATGACCAAATGTCAGGTAAATATGGGACAGATCATCTTTATGTAGACCAGGATAAAATACAGGCAAGATTGGTACTAAGCAAGTAGCTGATAACCAGTTCAGGATGCTATACTTTCATATAGTTCCCCTTCTTTCATTTAGATATACAAGCAGGCATAGGAAATGTAGTTTAGTCCCACTACAAATTAAAAGAGAATTTTTTAAACCAAAATAACACTGAGTATGGTAGTTTTATCTGTAATGACATTTCATCCTCAGATAGTTAGCTCTAATAGAAAAGGATGTTGTCTTAAGTCCACATGATAAACTTGACCTTTTGATCATTTTACTCAGCCTTCTTCATATCATAAAGAGATAGGGATATATAAGCTTTCTACTTAGTTATTATACTGGGCACAGCTGGATTGGATGTAACTGTGTCTAGGTTGTCTCTGATAATTATTTCCACATGCTGTTTTGTGTCCCACATAAAAACTAATTGATAAATCTTGTGACCACTTTAATTTTTTATTTATTTGCATTGTGTACTGATAGATATTTGTGTGTATATATAATCACATATACACTATGTATGTATATGTACATACACACGCATATATGTAGGACGCTAAATTAAAATTCACAAGTATATGTTTATAAATGTGAATGTTTTGGTTATTTATTAAAAGGCTTTATAAATATATACTGTCTTATATAGCTAGGCTAAAGTTCTTAAAACTTATTAAAATGGTATTTGGGGCTCTAGTAAATGTTTTATAAAAACCCTAAAATATTGTTTGTATAAAACACTATTCATCAGGATTATAGGACTAATGTTTCATTATACACATAGATTTTGACAAATATTTTCTTCCAAACAGATTCTAATGAAAAAAAATTGATTAAAATTTTATTTCAGTTAGGTAATAGTCGTGGGAAAAATAAGAATTATATGGCATAAAATGCTTTATGTTAATCAAAATGCCTCTTAGAAATGTATTTTTTAAATTTTTATTAAAATGAATTGCTTCCAAAAATATTCTTAATATATAAATGAAAATGATAAGACTCTTACTGAGCTGTAATACATGTAAAAAGGACATATTTCTTTTCAAAAATCTTTTGATTTTAAAATTTTTCTTTTCACGATTAGGATTTCAGAAGGGAGATAGAATCCCAACAAATGATCCCATTCAAAACCTAAGTATTTCAAAGTTCTTATCTTATCCCATTTAAAGTAAAGGAAAAAAACATTATTTTAAAACCAAGCTGTTACTGACTGCTCAAACTGCTTAAAGCCTCATGACTGCTCAGGCTGAGTTCTGGGTTTTTAAGTTTCTGCTTAATATTCCCTCACAACTTTGAGTATAAACCTGCAATTAGTAATTGCTTAAAGCTCAAAAAAGAAAAGAAAAGAAAACAACAACAACAACAGACTAAATGGTGCAACTTTAAAACTGGGAAGTTACAGATGTAAATAGAAGCTACAAAATCAGATTTGACAACCAAGAATCCATCTTCAGTTACAGCTATGTGTATCTATGTACTGTCTACAGGTGCTTAGGTTTTCTGTCATGTACATAGTGCCAAAGTAGTTTATAAGTAAGTGTAAGTTATAATTACCAAATTAAACCCAAATTCTTCTTAGTTCGTAATGTAACTGAAGTTTGAAGGTTTATGTAGTTAAGCTTATGAAGGAGCAGGGCAGAAAGCTCTGAGCTTCCTCTTGGGGATTGGGTCCTGGGGTACCAGGAAGGAGTGGCTGAGACCTCTGTTTAGAGAGGGAGGGGTGGGGCTGTGAGGACAGGGTGTCTGTGCTGTCTGGGTCAAAGGGCATCAGAGGGAAACGGAAGGGTGTGGTGGAGAGGGGACAGGAATATATTAGCCGAGGGCCCTTTAAGGCTAGGAGCCCTGAGCCTCAGCTCAGACCCTCAGTCCTCTGGAGTCTGCTCCAATACCAGCCATGCTCGCCGCCGCGGGCTCCCTGGTGGCCGCCATCTGGGCAGCGCTCCATCTCCGGACTCTGCTGCTGGCTGCTGTCATCTTCCTGTTTCTGGCTGACTACTTCAGAAGCCGGCGCCCCAAGAACTTCCCTCCAGGGCCGAGACGCCTGCCAGTCGTGGGCAACATATTCCAATTGGACTTTAAGCAGCCCCACCTGGCGGTCCAACAGGTAGGAAGGGACAAGGGTGCCTGGCTCTGCCCTGACCTAATCCTGAACTGCTGGATCTGTGACTTCCGGGACTGGGTTGGGATGGGCGGGGTTCTAAGACTCATGCTCACAGTGGCTAACCCCAGGCCAAAGAGTTAGCTTCTGTGAGTGCTCCTTTAAGAAATATGCAGCTCAGCAGGGCAGTGCTGACGCTGGCCTTGAATCCCTGCACTCAGGTGACAGAGGCAGGTAGATCTCTGTGAGTTCGAGGCCAGCCTGGTAAACAGAGCCAGTGCTTAAACAGCTATGGCTACAGACTGAAACCCTGTCTCCAAACACCAAAACCAACCAACCAAATCATCCCTACCACCACCACCACAACAACAAAACCCCGCAGCTCAATTTCCAAATAATTGGAGGATTTCTTATCCTTGACATACTTCCAGGGTGATTCCATTGTGGTCACAGAACACACTGTATGTTTTGAATTCCTTAAATATGCCAAGGTCTGTTTGATGACCTAATAGTAAATTATGATAGAGACATATGCCCTGGCACTTTAAGAAATGTGTGTGAAACCCTTGCGACTCTGCAGTTAAAATAGTGTGTGTGTGTGTGTGTGTGTGTGTGTGTGTGTGTGTGTGTGTGTGTGTTTGTGTGTTCTACTCCTCGTGACTAGAGTTTTGTATAGATGTTAGCTCTCTCTTACTGAGCCTTATTTTTTTCTACATCATTACTGACTGCTCACCTACTGATGTAAGAAAGCCACAATCAAGTCTCCAGCTCCACTGGGAGAGTGTCCCCTTCTCCACTCAGTTCTGGAGTTCTCCTTCATTAAATTGGAAAGTCTGTTCTGTATATACAGTACACATTTAAGATTGGCAGGTCATTTGATGACTTAACCATGTGACCATGTAATGACCCTCTTTATCCAGAGTAAATTTGTTTTGCCTGATTTTTCTTTCATCTCTTACACCCTGCAAGCTCCCTTTTGGTCAGTATGTGAAAGGCATATGCTTTTTAGGCCTTTTATTTTTAACTACTTATAATACTAGGAATGCATTCATCTGGACAACATATACTTGAGCATTTTTTTTTATTATTCAAGTCTCATCATTAATTGGGGAAGATAGAGCACCTCTGTTTACAGTTTCTATATAAGCATTTAAATCCAGTCTTCCATTGCTTTGTGGTTTGTCTATTTGCTCTGTTTTCATTCTTGGTTTCCTATCTTCCCCTGGGCTTCTTGGACACTTTCCGAATAGATGCTTTTTTATTCACCTTCCCTCTCTTTTATCGTCCTCCCAGGCTTTTCCATGTGAAGTGAAGTGACTGCAAACAGGGAGGAGCCTTCTCCTGTCTAGGACACACTGCTGAGATGTCCCCACACACTGAGACCCACATCAGACACTGACCTGCTCTTCAGTGTCCAGTGCAGCTAGATCTCAAAAGCAGAGGAGTCTGTTGTCTTTGCCCCTCCTCCATTACTGTCTTTTTTTCTGACCTTTTGAGTTCATGGTTTTCTTTTTGACCTCAAGCACTTTCTTTTTCCATTCCTCCAGAGGAGGCTATAGCAGAAGGAAATGTCTTAGCTTTACCCCACCCTAGAATGCCTTTCCCTTCCATTCCCACACTGTCTTTCCCCTGATTTAGGACACTAGGTTGACAATCTGCTGCACTTAATGTTCTTCTACTGTTCCCTTGCTGGCCTTGGTAGTTTCACCATAAATATTGAAGTTTGTTGTTGTTTTGTCTCTCTGCTTTGAAGAGATTCTGTTTTCCGTTTCCATATTGATTGTGGTGGTTTTGCTTTACTTGTGGCTTTATGCTGGTGGGGTCTTCATGGAAGGTTTGTATTTTGCCAGACTAGGAAGTTTCCACCATTCTTCAAGTATGCTCTCGTCTACATTTTCTTTATTCTGCTTTTCAGGACATTGGTGCGCAGCTGTGACATCTGTGCTGCTGGGTCTTGCTGTTTGCCGTCTGCTTTCTCTGTGCTGTGCACGGTAGACCTGCTTTTCTTCTCTGCACTGCCCAGGATTGCTCTTACATTACTTCTCTGCCAAGCTTTCTGTTCAGATCTCCACTTAGACCACTGCAGCTGTCTGTCCTCAAATTTACCCCTTTGCTTCTCTTACCTGTATCTTTCATTTCCCTGTTAAGAATCCCCGCTATTTGGAATAATTTTGTAATAACTATTCTGAAATATTTATTTCTCCCTTCTTTCCAACACGTGTGCCATCTCAATAAAATTGAGGTTCTCTTGAGTCTTAGTGAATGAACTAAGTAATGTCAGATGGATGTTTTGTGTGGTGTACTGTAAGACTGACGCACACACTAGGGCCATATTTTACTTGCTGAGCTTTTGAAGCTCTGAGAACTCACTTTTGTGAGTGGTGATTCAAATGGAAATTTAAGACTTTGTATATTGATCTGAATAGCCCCAGTTTGTGTTCAGCACTGCTGACTCCTCAGTTTCAGCAGCACGGGCTGGTAAGAAGGAAGATAGCTGCAAAATGCATGGCCCCATCAGAATAATGCAGCTGCACCTCACTATGGGAAGATAAATGCCAGTGATCATCCCATAAGTGTCCCATGGGAAAGGGATGTCCTTATTTCTGCAAAAGAAGGGTGTGAGCCAGAATTCTCTTTCGGGCTTCTGTGGGAATTCTCTGTATAGCAGTTCAACTGTAGAAGTCACAGTTCAGCTCATAGACTCAACCCAGGACAGACACATAGGTACAGCAGGTAACAAGATGGCATCCATGAACCCTACCACGCAGCCCCTTGTCGGGTCCCATGTTGATAGTGTTCGACTCCAGGATGTAGAAGCAGAAAGCTAAAGAGATCTCCCGCCTGTTGAACCTCAGTTTTGTGGTATTTTGGCAAAAGAGAGTAAACTTTGGAGTTTTGCTTCTGACAAATGCTGTTATAAGTTGCAAGAATAAAAAGACACGCTTTTATTTTATCTTGTGGGCGTTAAAATATTCGATGTCTTGCTACACTGTCATATGAGGTTAGGTGATGTGTCCCTTGGTGCAGCAATAGGAAATGATGTCACTGAGGCTGGGAACATCAGGCCAGCCCAGTAATATTTCACTCCTTTATTTTGTATTTTCTATGGGTTTACATTTTGATATCTGGGTATAAACAAATAGAGTTAAATGATACAATTTAAGCAAATTAAATTTTAATTCTTGCTATTAGGAAACAGTCCTCACAAGCTGACCCATGGCCTTCCCTTTGGGTTTTATGCTCCCCTTCATTCAGACTCCATGATAAGCACACATGGAGTCATGTTAGCAGTCATCTACTAGCATTCCATTTTCCACTGAGTAAACCTGTTGAGGAAAGGGGTGATCTGATGCCCCCATGTTGTTCAGTGAGCTAATGACAAAACAAGGGCTTGAACCCTACATGATTTGACTCAACACTTACTGTCTCCACAAATCCTAAGTAGAAGAAAAATGGCATTTGATAACTACAGATATTTGTTCCCAGACTTAGCATGACAGGCACAACACAGAACAGTCTATAGTCAAATGAATCCTATGGATTCTGGTAATCAATGGTGATAGCATATGAAATCTAGATGGACAGGCAGCTCTAGGCCTAGCCTTTGATAGAATGATGGCATCAATTGTGTGGTGCTTTGAAGGAATGTTTAACAAGTGTCTAGTGTAGTAAAGGGATGAGATATTTTAAATCAATTAAAATGACATCATTTAAAACAGGATGAGGTCAGTGAAGAAGCTGGGTTGCTTGTTGAGCATGTGTGAACTGTACTTCCCTCCAACTCATAGTTTCTTAGCTTTCTCTGTAGTAGTTCACAGAATCATTATAGGAACGTTACTCAAACAAGAGAAAGTCTTAGCAGACTGAAGTGGGCATGTGATACATAAGTTAGATATTAGCATGTACTTCAAGCTAGCTGTAACAATGGGACCCCAACATACAATGGTCCTAAGTATACCTTATATGATCGTTGTATGTAGAAAATTACTTAATAAATTCCAAGTCACTGTTAGGATGTCTTATGTGAGTTGATGCTCATTCCATTCTCTTTCTTTTCCTTTTATTCATCTTTAACATCTTATCAGATCAGACTCCTGAGAACACACTTGGATTTTTGCATATTAGGCAAGAATTTTGTGACCTGAATGCTGCATGACCCATCTGCGCTGTCTCTGGGCTCTGCTTCTCTGTCTTTCTGTTGCTTCTATTACCAGAGCCCTCCTCTAAATCACATTCAGTTATTTAAATAGCCACAGTTACTTTGCTATTGCTTCTGATATCATAGTTATTTATGCAAGCAAACCATCAAAAGGTATTTTTATTTACAGTGAATTCCATGCTTGCAAGCCAGAGAGGTAGCTCAGTGGGTAAGGGCACTTGCTGCAAAATTTGGTAATCTGAATTCGATCACTTGGACTCACACAGTGAGAGGAGAAAACAGACTCTGGAAAATTGTTCACTGACCTCCACAAGCGCAACATCACACACACACACACACACACACACACACACACACACACACACAAGACACATACACATACACATACACACAATCACACAATCACATACACACAGAGTCAGTCAGTCAATCAATCAATCATTGTAAAAATATTTTTTCTTATTCTGTGCTTGCTACAGCAGACTTGCGCAGACATACCTTGGTCTTTGGCAGGTGGCATACACTGTGTTCTCTGCCTTCCCTAGACTGCAGAATGCTGGATGTTATAGAATTTGCTTATTTATTCAAATTTATGTCCTCAAGCCTTCTTCTGGGGTTACACACTATAACACCATCCACTCACTGATTTATGTTAATGAATTTGTATAGGTAAATTCCATTCTTGCTATGAATTTGAGTTTAGTGCAGTAGCAAAGAAAAGAAAATCAAAACCATTTCCACAAACCGAGGTTATCATTCACAAGGAAATGAGGACTTGTCAATATGATTACCATTTGCTGCACATATGCTTACCATCCCTGGACACACATGTATGAGCACACTCACCTCTAACCATTGAAATATCTTTCAGCTTGTGAAGAAGTATGGGAATGTTATCAGTCTGGATTTTGGAATCATGTCTTCAGTGATTATAAGTAGCCTGCCCTTAATCAAAGAAGCCTTTACTAACCTGGATGAAAACTTTATGAGTCGCCCTATATTTCCTATACAAAAACATATCTTTAATGAAAATGGTAAGTCTTTTATGTGTTGTAAGATATATATTGTAATTTTTATGCTATATAAAAGGCACCTATATGCCTTATTTACCCAACATTCCCATAAGCCAGTCCCTTCATGAAATGCCATCATTAATGGGAGCTGGATACCATATTTCTTGAATGAAAGCACCCATAAGATGATTTTTAGTGTGTCTTAGTAGAGACTGAGTAAAACCACGTGTTTAGTAAAACTAACTATAGATTCTTTGATAGGAAGTAACCACAGCACCAAACACAACCATTTTCCCACTCCAACCCTAGGAAAATGGATGTAAGTCAGCTTCTCTTTTTACTACATCTTGCTTATAGCTGCTTGTACTCTATCATTAAAATCATGAGGATTTCTAGGCTCCTAACTAATGCTATAATTTATTAGTATGAATACTTTATATTATCATCAAATAAAGTCATAAGTTGAAAACAGAATCTAAAATCTATTAATCCAACAAAACAGCATTTTAGATGCTTTCTAATTACTCTGAAATAATTCTACATCAATTCACTGTATTGTGTGCTATAAGAATCTAAGTGCTAGACATAGGTCTTAGAGTTACTGCTGCTGTGATGACATACCATGACCAAAGAAACTTGGGGAGGAAAAGATTTATTTGGCTTATGCTTCCATATCACTGTTCATCATCAAAGGAACTCGGGACAGAAATTCAGGGCAAGAATTTGGAGGCAGGAGCTGATGCAGAGGCCAGGGAGGAATACTTACTGTCTTGCTTCTCATGACTTATTCAGCCTGCTTTCTTATAGAATCCAGGACTAAAAGCCCAGGGTTGGCACCACCCACATGGAGTGGACCCTCCCACACCAAACACTATAGCCCTATATTATGGAGGCATTTTCTCAACTGAGGCTCCCTCTCTTGAATGAATTTAGCTTGTGTCACATTGACATAAAACCAGTCAGGACAGTATAAGTTAATAACAGGGATTTAAATAGTAAAGTGGTATCAATAAAGAAAGCTTTTATCAGAGATGTCTAACATTGTCTAAGGATTCTGGAAAAGCTTCTCTGAGTAAATGACATCTAAAAAATAATTAGTCAAGGGAATATAATATCCTTGAAAGGACAAGAAGGAGTGAGGTGTTGAGGAACTGAAAGACATCCAGTGTTGCAAGCATGGTATTTAAAGAACACAATTAAGTGCACTTGATACTTCTGACCTTGATCACAAGAGCACAAGCAATGTTTGCTAAATGTTGATTTTTATTCTAATAGCCTGGAAAACTTCTGAGTGGTTTTGAGCAGAGGAGATCTTAGGATATCAGGTAGGGACTAGAGAAAAGGCATTAGGAAACCTGTTTTCAATATGAAGGGTGGGAGCTTACACACTCCAGTTGCAACACTAGACTGTGAATTCAACCAGGGTGATGGCATTGAAGCCTTATAAACACAAATCCAGGCATGCCAGAGGGAAGCCAACATGACTTCATGATCTAGATGCCAGGATGCTGAGAGAATTCCACCAGGAGTTTGATGACTAACCTTGGTTGTCAACTTAACTGCATTTGGAATCAACTAAAGTCCTAGCAACTTGGCACACAAATGAAGAATTTTGCTTTATTGAGTTATTTGAGGTGAGAAGACCCACCCTAAATCTGGATCATTTGAGATCAGAAGACCCATTCTAAATTTGAGCCACACCTTCTGTGGCAGCCCACAAAAAAGGACATGGAAAAAGGAAACTTTTGCCTTTTGCTTTCTTGCCTTCACTCTCACTGGCAAGTTCAACTATCCTGCTGATGAAGAATTCCTTCACGGGTATTAGAATCTACTACTTTAGGATTCCAGTGAATACGAAAGACTAACTGAGACATCCAGCCTCATGGATTGAACAATCATAGCATTATTGGCCTTTCTATTAGGAAACAGTCACTTTTGGACTAGCTTATAACCCATTCTAATAAATACCCCTTTAATATCTCTAGATTCATTCTATCATTGCTAGTCCTTTAGAGAAAAGTTTCTCAACCTGTGGGTCACGACCCTCTTGGGGGATGGAACCTTTTCACAGGGGTCACCTAAGACCATTGGAAATATCAGATATTTACATTATTATTCATAACAGTATCTAAACTATAGTTGTGAACTAGCAACAATAATAATTATATAGTTGGGGGTCATTACAACATGAACAACTATATTAAAGGGTTGCAGCATTAGGAAGATTGATAACCACTGCTTTAGAGAATCTGAACTAGTACAGACTGTGGTACCAGGAGTGGTTCCTGACATTTAGCTTGACATAGATAAGAAGACTTATACATACTAATATATACATATATTAATAAAAAATGTGGACACTTTGAACACAAAGTATAGATGCATTGGTTCTGGGAAGACTTGAATTTGATCACCTCATTGGCTACATAATAACCATGTTCCCTTACAAATTTTACTTTATCCTTGTATCTCATTTTTCTATCCATTGTAATAGATCTGGAAAGTTCTGGTAATAAGCCTTTGGATTTTCTAAGAGTACTAAATTAAAGTATATATTAGAAATACTGACAAAACTGTGTGATGTTGCAAACCACCAGGAGATGCTAGCCATTGTGCTCCTTGCTTTGTGATATTCTGCCTAGACAGCTGTCAAGCCCCTTTTTAGCCCTTCTCCTTCCATCATACCCATGCCCAGCCAGTTTCTCGGGTAATTTTAGATCAGAATCACAATGCTATAACCCTGAATCTCTTTCTTCCAGGGTTGATCTTCTCCAGAGGCCAAACATGGAAGGAACAAAGAAGGTTCGCCCTGATGACACTGAGGAACTTTGGATTGGGAAAGAAGAGCTTAGAACAGCGCATGCAGGAGGAGGCCCGACACCTTGTGGAGGCCATAGGAGAGGAGGGAGGTGGGCATCGCATGGGCAGGTGCTGGAGGCTGTGGCCCTTTCATTCATTGAATAGATTCTTCCTAAGTGTCTATCTAAGTGCTTGTCCTGGGCCCTGCACTGTGCTGAGCACTGAAGATTGAGCTAGTGAACATGTAGCCATGACCCTGCCCCAGGTGATCTGCAGCTAGACACACAAATGGTCTTCAGACACACTGTTGCACTTAAGGCCTGGTCATCAGTCTGACTTCCCAGATACTGACAGATTCTTTGGTGTGTGTTAAGCCTCATAGCAAGCTATACCCAGAGCCTCTTACATGGTTCTCTGTTATATCGAATTAAGAAACCAATATCTTTAAAAGATGCATCTTTTTCTTTATCCACCTCCAGGACAACCTTTTGATCCTCACTTCAAGATCAACAATGCTGTTTCCAATATCATTTGCTCCATCACTTTTGGCGAACGTTTTGAGTACCATGACAGTCAGTTTCAGGAGCTGCTGAGGTTACTGGATGAGGCCATGTATTTGGGTACCTCACTGATGGTCCATGTAAGCATTCTGGCTTCCTTTATTTTGGGAGAAAGTTGGGCTGGGGCTAATTCAAGTACAGGTAGGTTCTTTCTTTCTTTTTTTTTTATTTTTTATTTATTTTTTTATTTTTTAAATTTTTAAATTTTTTACTTTATTTTACAATACAATTCGGTTCTACATATCAGTCACGGATTCCCTTGTTCTCCCACCTCCTGCCCCTCTCCCCTTCCCCCCAGACCACCCCCCATTCCCACCTCCTAGATGGTCATTCTTTATATATATATATATATATATATATATATATATATATATATATATATATATATATTTAATTTTGCAATACAGTTCAGTTCTACATGGCAGTCACGGATTCCCTTGTTCTCCCCCCTCTCGCCCCCTCACCTTCTCCCCAGCCCATCCCCTATTCCCACCTCCTCCAGGGCAAAGCCTCCCCCACGGACTGAGATCAACCTGGTAGACTCAGTCTAGGCAGGTCTAGTCCGCTCCTCCCAGGCCGAGCCAAGCGACCCTGCATAGGCCCCAGGTTTCAAACAGCCAACTCATGCAATGAGCACAGGACCCGGTCCCACTGCCTGGATGCCTCCCAAACAGATCAAGAATTGTTGAGACCAAGGTTGGATAAAGCACAGGGACAAATAGCCAAACGAATGGAAACACATGAACTATGAACCAATGGCTGAGGGGTTCCCAACTGGATCAGGCCCTCTGAATGGGTGAGACAGTTGATTGGTTCTTTCTTTTTGTTCTCAGAACTTTTTGAAAATAAATATAATGTCTTCAAGTTGAGTTTGATACAAACTGATCTGTTGATTTGGAAGTTTTTAATAAGAAAACTTACTGTATACAAAGTGTTTCTAATATTTTAATGAAGTACCAACATTTATGTGATAGTTATGTATGTCCAAATGCTGCTTTTTTTAAAGTATGGAGATATTATTGTTGATTTTGTCCCTCTCTCTCCCATACCTCTCTCCTTATATCTTACATGCATACCCCAAGTATCCTTTCTAGCTCTCCTCCTGTGTACAATGCTCCTCTTTATTAACCCTTCGTCATTGTTCATTAATCTTTTCTCAATGGTTAGAAATTTAGTTGTTTCTAAGTTAAATTTTTTATTAATAACATTGTTGTTAATATTTTGTGTTCATGTTGCCGTATCCACTCATTTTTCTTATATTTTCATTTAGACATAAAAGGTAAGTAAACGTTAAAAACTGGTTCCACTATTTAGATGCCCATTCACTTGAAGCTGTCAATATTGTAACGCCTTAGATGTAGCCCTTTGGGATCCAATCTTTACCCCCCGTGTTGCTGTGCTCTATGTCCCTATGCTTATCCCTATATAAACGTTTGTTTTAGAACTGGCCTTAGCTATCTCTGAAATATCTGATAGGTTGAGCTTTCATCTTTATTTGGTTCTAGGAGCTTGGCATTTTTCTCCATGTTTTTTCAATGAGCCACTGTTATTCAAGAATTTATTTTTCAGTCTCTATATATTTGTGTATTCTCAGTAACTGGAGGAACCAGCCTCCAGTCACCACCAGGGTATGCAAAAAAAAAAAAAAATCATGAATGCAGCGAAGGCTAGACTTTTTCTATCTGAGGGGAAACATAAGGAAACACATGCTTTCTGATGGTAACTTTTCTCTTTTACTATATCTTGAAAAAATCCTCTCTGAAAAAAATCTCACTTTTTCTACATAGATAATTCCACATTGTTACATTCTCCACACAGCCCACATACCTATTTTGCATATTTACATCACTTTTCTGTACAGCTTCATTTTCCATGACATCTCTTTTTTATATAGCTTCACATCTGTCTTCTATACACATTACTTCTCTCTACTCTGCTACATTCCTCTCCATATTACTACATCATTTATTCACTCTTTACTCTTTTTTATATAGCTTCACATCTGTCTTCTATACACATTACTTCTCTCTACTCTGCTACATTCCTCTCCATATTACTACATCATTTATTCACTCTTTACTCATTCATTCTCTCATTCATTCACTCTCTCACATTACTCCTTCTGCATACTCAGCTACATCTCCTTTTCAGTACACACACATACACACACACACACACACACACACACACACACACACACAAACCACTTTCCCATTCACTACTTTTCAACAGCCAAACTCTGTACAAATATATGTTACATTTTCAGGGTTCGACCCATTCTCATAAAACATGATAAGTCACACATTTTCTCGCAGGCTAGGTAGGTCACATTAACTGGCCAGTGAGTAACACTTGGCTGTACATGTAATTCTTTCACAGACAGAACAAAAGTGACTTGAAATTCAGGACTTAACAATAACAATTGGCTGAACCTTGACCCTGTAACGTAAAGTGGGAGAAAGCCAACTACTGAGAGAATTATATCTACTAAAGTTGCTTTGTGTCTGACATTGGTTTAACAGACACTTGGGAACTTGTCCTTGTGTGTTTTCTGCAGGGGCAGCTTAGTCTGTTTTGAATTTGATCTGAAGTCTAAAATTAGCTGTCTTTGTGACTGAGAATACTGTTACTTTCCTGTGTCAGTTAAGAAATACTCTAGTATTATTTCTATTCATCAGAGTTATACAGCTTAAGAAGAAATCATCTTCCAGGCCATCCACCACTATAAGTGTGTCCAAAGATGGAATATTTTCATCAAATAAACACACAAGCAGTGGCAAAACACCCATAGAAGTTCTTAGGAAAGAAATATATTGGCACATGAGAGAAATTACAGACAGGAGCAACTGTTCATTTACAATCAGTAACTCCAGGGCTTTGTCAAGTGGGGATTCCCATCTGGTGGGTCAACCTGTTAAATACTAGTTGTTACCTGCTGTATATTACCACGGCCCTCAGCAATGTAGTTTCTGTAGTGTTTCTTGCTATTGATTTTAAGGTTCATTACACTATGGTCTATTTGGATATAACAATATTTCATTCTTTTGTATTTAGCAAGACTTGAGTCTTTATTTTAGAGAAAATTTCAGGTACAACTAGTAAGAAAGTATATTGTTTCATTTGGATGGAAAGAATCCTCTCCAGATGTCTGTTAAGTCCATTAGATCTATGGTACAGTTTAGCTCTGAGATTTCTCTGTTGGTTTTTTACTTGGGATGTCCTATGCAGGAATGGGAGTGGAGTGCTGACATTACCACAGTTATTGCATGAGAATCTGTCTGAACTTCATATTCATTGTTGTTTGTTTTATGAAATTGAGAGTCCCAAATTTTGGTGCATATATATTTACAATTGTTCTAATTGACGAATTGTTCCTTTTATGGAAGTGTAGTGGCCTTCTTTATCTCTTTTAGTTAATTTTGATTTAACATCAGAATAGCTAGTCCAGCTTGTTTCCAGTTTCTGTTTGCTTCATGGATAAGGTTATCATGGAGAGAGGTTAACTCGTTACAGTAATTCTGTCAGTTTTATTTTTTCCTGGTTGCTTGGATTATTTGGTTTTTGCTCTCCCATGATTAGTATTAAGGATTGGCTTGTTTACTGTGTTAGACATGATGGATTTTTTCCTAGCTCTTCTTTATTCAGCTGTTCTCATTAAATTTACTCTTTCCTGTGTTCTCATGATTGAGCCTCATCTTTCTTCCTTCTCTGTGTGTAGCACTCAATTAAGCATCTTCTTCAGTGTTGCCTTGGTGGTCATTTTGGTCATTGGATGTCCGTGGGAAGTTTTTAATTTAATTACGTGTGTGTCGGGAGGTGTGCATGTTTATGTGGGTGCCAGGCTTGTGCAGCCAACACCTTTACTAACTGAGCCATCCCCTGGGATAAACCCTTTAAAACTTTAAATATTGCTTCTTTCCTTTACAGTTTGGATTTCCCATGGAGATATTTTTATTTGGTCATATTTATTTTGGGATCTCAATGACTCTTGTATTTGAATGTCTGTTTCTTTGACTTGGGAAACATTCTGCTGTAATATCATTGAATTCATCCTCCATCCCTTTACTTTTTATCTCAGCTTCTGAATAAAGTCCTGCACATTCTTGGGCTTAGTCTCTTGATCATATCATGGTTCTTCTACATTCTGGCTGTGGTCATTATTTACATTGTTAGTTACTGCTGTTGGAATGTAGCTTTTCCTCAGCAGTGTTCTCCCTTCTGTATCTTCTCTTTGGTGGAGACTGTTGATGTTTTCTGATGAGGTCTTTTGTTTTTATTTTCTGTTTTGTTTTGTCTTGTTTTTTATTCAACTTTAAAATCCCAACATTTCTATTTGTTTGTTGTTTGTTTTTATAAACTCTCCATTTCCTTGCTGTATTTTCTCCTATTCTGCCCAGTTTTCATCTTTATGCTACCTCTCTCCTCCTTTCCCCTGTTTTCTCCACTCAGCTGACCTTCACCTCTAGAGCCCATACTGGATTCCTCTGCCTGTTTGCATCTCCATCAGTCTCTGATCATTTTGACCAGAAAATACTTGGACACCCAATATTTGACATATTTCAAGGTCTTTGAATTGAGTTATGATTTTTAGAAGCATCATCTCACCCTTTTCGTTTCTTGCATTTGTTTTACTGTATGCATCTATTGATCGGGATATCTGTTCTGGATTCTTTGAAATGATCTTCATATTGAGCAACCTGTTCTTGAAGGCTAGTATGATTTGCAAGTGGAAAGAAACTGCTCTAGCAGCAATGTTAAACTATACAGATATAAAAACACACTTAAAATTATTGATTGGTAACCAAAATGTGTCTGTTGAAATGATAATGTGAAGAGTGTTGTGCAATTTGCTATGAAAACAAAATTATTTAAGGTACGTGTGGAAACATAAATAAGTGAGATAAAAGGAGGAGACCAGAAAAGGGAGAAAAAGAGGAAAAGCAAGGTTCAATAACAAGTGAGTGGAGAGAAGTGTAATAAAGGAGAAGAGAAAAAATATGAGAGATTTGGGGGAGGGCAATCAAAAATATTCCTCAGTAGTTGAAATAAAATCGAATGTAAGAAAATAAGTAAAATATAAAAGTATTATTTTTAAAAGTCAATAAAGTCAAAATATTACTAAATGCAAGGGGTTTATACAAATGCACAGGGTTATAGAAAATAATTTATGGAAGAGAACTCTTATTGTCTACAAATGAAAACAAGATAAATAACATTAGATGAATTTATGAAGGGAAATAAAATCTAAAAAATGTAATAATAATAATGATGATGATAATGATAATAAAAGTGTCCACTTAAAAATCTTGCAAATATAAAGAAAAAACGGAGACAAAAGAGAGCAATAAAGAAAAAGCAACTGACTCAGGTGCGTTCTGAGTCATCAAAAATTGGAGGCTGCTGGTTACATGCATGGAGGAGGTGAGCTGAGTCTGACTCCTGTCTTGCCTTTGGCTTATGCTGTTGCTGAGTCTGTACTGGAGCAAGCATCTCCTGTATTCAGAATTGTCTTCACAGATGCTCTTTTCCTTCTGTGGGTAACAGCAGCGGCCTCTGCAGACTGTAATTAACTTTGCATTTTGTGATCAGGGCACATCTTATACCATCAAGACTTCCTACATTAAAACCCCTGGTGAGACTCACAGGTGGAGGTGTATCCCAAGTGTGTTGGGAGTGTGGGAATCAAGAAGAACTGCCTTCACATATTCAGGGTCCCTGAGTACTGATCACCATGCTGCAGGAATGCCCTTCTACATGTCACACAAACCCCTGGAATGTCGGAGTTCCTGGATTCTACAGCAATGAACCACAGGAGGTTACCTCCATAATTTGACCTAGTCCATGATCTCAGACTCAGAAATATCAAATTCCAGTGTTAATTTCAGTTGAAAAGCTCAATTTGTAGCCACTGCAGGTGTGGCTATCTCCCCTTATATGCTTCCCAGCTGATCTCACTTCCTGCCACCTTCATCCTTTGGCCCTTCAGTGTCTAGATGACACGAGGAACAGAATTGGGACTACTAAATGCTATGCCAATGTGTGTCCTAGAGTGGAAACAGTTGGACCAGTGCAAAGTAGTCTGAAGCTGGTGTGTTTTGCATGGAGTGTTGAAATGCCTACCAGTGGTTATAAGGAAAAACAGCATTCCAGATATTCCCACAGTTCCAGTGTAGGGGATAAAGAGGGAAAGTAAAGACTGTCTTGAAACAGAAAGTGACTTTATGTTGTCTCCATGATCATTTTCTTCTCCCTAATTAGTTCTATAACATCTTCCCATGGATAATGAAACATCTTCCTGGACGACACCAAAGAATAATAGCTACCTGGGGAAAACTGAAATCACATGTTTCTGATGTAGTTGACAATCACCGCAAAGACTGGAACCCTGATGAGCCGAGAGACTTCATTGATGCTTTCCTCAAGGAAATGACAAAGGTGGGGAAGATGTGTCTGTGTCTTCTTTCAGAAAGAGTGGTGTAGAATAGCTTCCATTGAGTCAGCAGCAGGCTACCACAAAGGAGGGTTTAGCATAGCAGAGATTTATTCTCTTATAATTCTAGATCATCTGTGTAATCCTGCTATCCAGGCAAGCTACTTTGGGAGACATTAGAAAATTCATTGCCTGTGTCTCCAATCTCCTAGGGAACAATGATGTTTATTTCTGTAGCTCCCTGCTCCATCTTTAATGCCAATAGTGCAATATCTCTGTCCTTTCTGATCCCTTTACATCTCATTTCTCCTGTTCTAACCCAAGAGGCCCCCCTCATAAGGATAGCTCAGGATAACCTTTCCTCCTGCAATTAGTCATCGTGCATTAGTCACACGATCTATTGTTTGGACATTGGGTAACAGGTCATGGTTGCAAGGATGAAAATATGAAGACCTTTGTAGATCATTACTTAACACACCCTTGGAAGTAAAACATAGGAGTAATAATTTGTAAATGCATGGTAACATAACCTTGTGTTGTTGAGGTCTTTAGAAACAAAGGGTTTACTACCATTTAGCTTGAGGTCCTGGTGATTCCCAGATTCTTTCTTATTATGCCTCTCCTTGTTCCTCTTCCAATATATGAAGGAAATACACACAAAATAAAAATAGTGGTTAAATTTCAGAACTTTATTTTGTTATGAGTTGGTCCAGAGCTGGTTACCCTTCCCAACTCAGACCCCACTGCAAAGACAAACATGAGATAAGTAAATGGTAGAGTTTAACTTTCATATGAAGGTGGGGCACTTACCTTTCCCTGGACTCCACATCAGCACTATTCAATAATAGATCAAGGCAAGAAGACAATGAGGGAACATATTAGTTAACTTTGCATCATTGTGATAACAATATGTGGCAGCAACAACTGAATAAAGCAAAAATGTATTCTGGTCAAGTTTTAGGATGTTTCAGTTCATCATGGTGAATAGCAAAGCAGCTCAGCTCATGGGGCAGAAGGGTATGGTGGAGGCTTTCACATCACCGTGCAGCAGGAAGCAGCAAGCAAGGAAGGCACCGTGGGTTTGGTGTGACTCTAAGAGTTACCTTCCCTCCCTACAGGCATCAAGTTCCTTCAGTTAGATGCTATATCCCTATTTCAAGGAACTTCCCCAAATGCTATCAGTGTAAGGAACCAAGTATTTGATACATAAGGCTGTGGGGGAACATTTTGGATTCAAGCCATGCTGTAAAATGTAAGGCCTTGATCCTAGTAGACGTCTGGCAAATACGACTCACTGAATTTGTCAAAGAAGTTTCAGCTCACTGGATTATGAACTCCTCTGCCTGGAGCACAATGGTAGATGAGAGAGAGAGAGAGAGAGAGAGAGAGAGAGAGAGAGAGAGAGAGAGAGAGAGAGAGAAAGAGAGAGAGAAAATTATCTTCTCTCTTATTTTATCTTCCTGCCATAGTATTCATTGGAGTAATATTTATGTCAAGAAGAGGAGAAAAATCATTTACCATATGAAGTATAGATATGAGAACAACAACATTAAGAGCAATATTAGCAAACTGATGCTTCTAGAGGAAGTGAGCAAAGGTGATGTTTTGCCATGAAGAGCTATTGAGGAAATCAGTGAAGTTTTGACTTTGCAAGATGATGCAGATTGGAGAATCATTGAATACAGAAAATTCATATTAATCTTTCTGGTATCAGCAAAGTCACCGTTGAATATTAAAGGGAGCATCACTCTGAATGACTTAATGCAATTCATTCCTCAGGGTGAGGACCGGTGTTATGAGACAATCACAAATAATCTGAATAAACAAATTCACACTGTCTTTCCTAGTACCCAGACAAGACTACTACAAGTTTCAATGAAGAAAACCTCATCTGCAGCACTCTGGACCTCTTCCTCGCTGGAACAGAGACAACATCCACAGCACTGCGCTGGGCTCTGCTCTACATGGCCCTCAACCCAGAAGTCCAAGGTGAGCACATGGTAATTGCATCTAACTCAGGTAGAATGGGGTAAGAAGACAGCATGGTGGAGTGAGAAGAGGTGGAGCAGCTGTGCAGCACTGTGCACTTGGGAAAAGGCACATCCTGAATTGATCTCTTAGGATTATAATTGTTCCAGGAGCGCAGATATTACAGTCTGTACCATCAGCAATCTTGGAGTTCCGGAGTAAAGAGAGAAGTCAGTTTAAATTGTGGTATGTTCCAGCAAAGAGTGGATTTACCACACACCCTCCTTCATTTTTAGCAATCCTTCCCAGTTTGAGTACTGTCCTAATTCTTTATTCTGGTATTTGATGTCTTGTGATATGCACCTTTCTGCCTGCTCAGGGATCTGCCTATCTCTGCCTCACAAGTGATAGGATGACAAACAAGTGCAGACTTCCACATCTGGCTTTCTTGCCTTTCTTGCCTTTATTCTGTAATTCCAACTCACGTTCTCATGTTTGTATGGCAATCAATTCACTGTAAGTTATCCACACACAAATGTTATTAATACATATTATATGTATCTATATTATGCATATCTGGACTACTATCTAAAATGCCTTTCTTGATGAAGGTTCCATTTTGAAGAAAGCTTAAAGCATATTGAGTTACAGTTTAGGCTTACTTTCTGAAACAAAGATTCTAGGATATCAGTATATTTTTTAAAGCATTTAAAATATATTGTTTATTTTGCATGCGTATGTGCACACTTGCACACTCTCTTTCCCCGTGCACATATGGAGATCAAATAACAACTTAAGGAAGTTGGTCTTTTCCATCATGTGGGTTCCTGACCTTAATCACATATCATCAGATTTGGCAATAAGTGCTCAGTCATCTCACCATCTAGTGTATTAATTGATCGAAGTTAATTTGTGTTCATTTTGTAGTATTAATAGTAGTCAACAGTTGGAGGCATCCAGGATATTCATTGACCATAAGTAAAGTTCAATACAGAAGTTCAGCCCCCAAGGAAAAACATCTTGATGTATGCATGAATATGGAAGACAAATATCTTGTATATTTAACTATACAGAATCTCTAGAATAGTTAAATTTGTAAGCACAGAAGGTAGAATACAAGAGAGATAAACCAAGAATTGTGAAGAACTAGTTATTTTGCAAGATAAACTGGTTCTGTCATTCTTTATTGGGGGATTTATTAAGGCAACTCCACGTAGTTAAAATTGAGGTTTATTTTGGGGTAACTCACAGCAAGTAAAGGGATTGGTAACAGGATCTGGGAGAGGTGAAGTGCGGTCTAGTGGTGTTCTCTGGAGAACTCTGCTCAGTCTACCATCCAGCATCCAGGATCACCAGGAACCAAGAGAGCTGACACATCTAGATCTTGGGTCTTAAGGGCTCCTGTCTTGGCCCTGCCTCAGGGGCAGGTCATAGGTAGGCGTGACAGTTACCAGAAGCCTCACTGGGGCTAGTACTTCCAGATCAAAGCTGGAACAGCTACCTACTACATCTCCCCCTTTTTGTCTAAATAAGAAAGTTCTAACCTAATACAAAACTATATACAATAGGAATGATTATCAAATATTGTCCAGGAGGAATAAGGGATAATATCCTAGACAAGATGGAATTACCACCAACATGAACAGTATCAAACAATAGGTACATACTAAAATCCAGAGAACTCTGGAGCATGGGTAAATGGTATATTACAAAGAATATTCCAAAAGGTGTCCTATCCTAAAGAACCTAAATCTAATACTTAATATGTTCTAGCTAAGATACAAGAAGATTGTAACTATAACTGTTAGCCTTCAGTCCCATCAAAGGCCTGAGAAGGAATATAATAATACTGGAGAAACGGGAGAAGGATGCAAACAACTTTTGGGAGTCTTGCAAGAGCAGACGTAGACAGCTGGCAGCCTGGACAGTCATCTAAAGTTTCTCAGCATCGTTGGTGCATTCAAATTGGCTACAGGCCTAGACTGTCTGTCAGACCATTTTACTGTCAGAAGTCGAGGCAAAGGCAGTTCTTTGCCCAGTAGGCCATTTTGTGCTAAGGTGAAGATAAACTTCCAAGCAGAAATGTCTCAGAAGCACAACATTCTCTCAGGATCAGATTGGTGCTGCCAGGAGCAATTGTGTCTCTTGTCAACAGAATTCCAAGTTATCAAAACATTTAAATGCCATATTCTGTAGGTCTACGAAGTGTTTGAAGACTACCTATCCATCTGACATATGTTTCTGTAAGTCTGGAGAACCTAACATAACTATAGAGATGACAAGCATAGGTGATTATAAATCTGTTAGTCTTACCTACCTAGATAACCTAAGGACTAAGGTTTCATGTAAACAGGGTAAACAGTGTGTAAGCAAATGTACAGTAAAAGAACAATGACTTCAAAATTGTGACAATACACAAAATAGCTAAAGCAGAGGTAGGAATATATAGTACAATATACAATATGACAATAATCCTAAATATATATTAATATACCAAGTATCCTAAACAGAGGTAGAATATACATACAGTATGACAAATATTTTGCATTCGTATCAATATACAAAACATTTCAAATAAGAGTAGAAATATATGTACAAATATATGTACATTACAACAAATATGGTTCTGTATTTGTATCAATATACAAATTATCTGGAATAAGAATATAAAAATACATTTGTATCAATATACAAGAATCCATAACAGTGCAATATATCTAAGGCTGATATTTTAATAAATTAGTTTACTAGTATGTATAATAATCTACCTTAATATTCTATATCTATCCATTCCCCATTTTTCTTTTTGTTTTTTGTTTGTTTGTTTGGTTGGTTTGTTTTGTTTTTCGAGACAGGGTTTCTATGTGTAGCTTTGGCAGCTTTCCTGGAACTTACTCTGTAGCCCAGGCTGGCCTCAAACTCACAGAGATTGCCTGCCTCTTCCTCCTGAGTGCTGGCATTAAAGGCGTGCACCACCACCACCACCACCACCACCACCACCACCACCACCACCACCACCTGGCATTTTGTTTTTGTTTTTGTTTTACTTTTCCCTTTTTTTCTTTTTTTAAGGGGAATACCAAGTCCAATGTTTTCTTCCATCCCCATCCCTATAACCATTATCCATATCCCTCAGAAACATGAAACCTTTGGGAGAAAGAGGTGTTGTTTTCTTAGAATTGCTTCCTGCTGTTCAGAGGGCGATGGTATCTTCCTTTTCCAACAATATATATATATATATATTTGTTGATTCAAGTTTTGCACAGTGGCTGCACTTTAATCTACTGCCTTTTCAGTCAGCAATTGCAATCCCACAGTTACCTGCCTGCTTCTCTAGCAGTAGCTGGGCAGGAATTCTGTGCCTTCTGGCACTGCCTCTGTCACTGCTACTAAAGGTAGCTTTAACTAAACCAGTATCATTCTATTTAGAAGTAAAACTAGAGAGTCAAAGGCTGAGGTGAAAACCTGCTAGCTCAGAGAGGCTGAGTAGTAACTAGCTAACCCTCTCTCATAACTGATATCTACCTAAAGCACGTCACACAAAAAAAGCCATACCATTCAAACTCCTCTCTACTACTCCCAAAGCATCTCTCTATCTCTTTGAGATGCCCTCTGATGATCTATTACTACTTTCTGTCAACTAGTTGCTAACTCAGCCACCTGACCCAAGGTTAATTTTAATAAATGAATGCAAATGCAAACTTGGTGTTCACAGTATGATCAAATATCCTAATATCCTATCACTGTACACTTAAAACTTGAAAGAAGAGCTATGCTTAGTGGCCCACATCATCAATCAAAATGCTTAAGAGACTGAGATAAGACTGCTGAAAACTCAAGACACTAACTTGCCCTACCTCAAAATCATTATAGTGTTTGATATCTGATTTATGTTAGATGAATTTTATCCCCATGTCATTCTTTTATGTGTACAGTAGTGCCATGTTAGACATTTATGTATCTATCTCAGGGGAAAGAGTCATGCTGGACCTTGTAAAGGACCTAGAGTTCCAAAGTCCTTTCACCTTATGGCAGTGGTGAGCTCAGCTGCGGCTCCAAGACTCTGCAGAGGCTCCCATGAGGACTGCCTTTGTACCCCAGGGAAGGAAGGGGACATTGTCTCCACAAGCCTTGTCCCAAGGATGAAACATTGTGTCCACTTATGTTTTACTTGCAAAATTCAGTTACATTTCCTCTTTAAGGAATCTGGGAAATGTCATCTTTAGCTAGAGGAGCAGGTAAACAGCTAAATCTCTACTGCACTAAAATTGTGATGATATTGAGAGGAAATAGCTACCATTTGTCATAACGCGTATACTGATTCATGTAAATCTCAAAATGTCCTATGATAAGGCTAATTTAGTCTTAATAATCAGATGAAGAAATTGAAGCTCATAAAATATTACTAGTTTCACCATCAACGTTGCCTGGAAACACATTACAATTCACTGCCCATGATGACATATATCCTTGAAAAATTAGTCAGTGGATATGCTGTGGTCTCAATGTTTGTGGCTTATCTATAAACTCATTGAAACTTAATTATCAATGTGATGGTGTGAGGAGGTGATTCTCTGTTATGAAGGGAGTTTGTGCTTTAGGAAGAGGAAGTAGATGGGTTCTTTCTACCTTATGGCATGATGATACAACAAGGATTTCTCAACTATGACGAAGGAAATTGGTCCTTACCAGACAAGAAATCTGTCGATGTCCTAATCTTAGAATTCACAGACTCTACAAGTAAAAAAAGGCAAAAGTGTACTGATGTTAATCTTTTCAGTAAAAAGTATTTATTTATAGACATCTAAATAGACACTGATATGAGCTTAGCCGTAGCCATCCTAATTATTAACTTCAGGATATATGGAAAATCATAGTTATGCTGTAGACTTGAAGAAAGGTATAGAGTTTCAGTTTTCTAAATCAGGATTTTTAAGGGGTAGAGAACTTTTATTTCCTCAAAATCAGGACACTAGATGAAATAAAAGCAAATAAGTTTTGGAAGATAGCTTTCTCTATCTTTAGAAGAAATCATTGAAGTTTAAAACTAAATGGAGCCTCATATTTCCTTGAAGAAAAAGTACAGGCTGAAATTGACAGAGTGATTGGCCAGGAGAAGCAGCCCAGCCTGGCTGACCGAGATTCCATGCCCTACACCAATGCTGTTGTCCATGAGGTGCTGAGAATGGGAAATATCGTCCCTCTTAATGTTCCCAGGGAAGTGACAGTTGACACTACATTGGCTGGATTCCATCTGCCAAAGGTAAGTAGGCTCAGGCATGGAAGTTTGATAACCACCAGCCATCTGTCTGTGTCTTGTCCATACATTGTCTTGAGTCTTTACTACCTTCCCTAGGGTACCTTAGTCCAAACCAACTTGATTGCACTGCACATGGACCCCAAAGAATGGGCCACCCCAGACATCTTCAATCCAGAGCACTTTTTGGAGAATGGACAGTTTAAGAAGAGAGAATCTTTCCTGCCTTTCTCAATGGGTGAGTTGTGATGCACAGGAGAGAGTTCAGAGTCCCACCTCATCCCTTCCCTTCTTTCTGGGATCCTTACAGATGAGCCTTCCCAATAGATCTCTATTTTGCAATTGATTTCAGTCCAGCACCTCCACACATACACTATCAATACTTCCTTGCTTCTGACGGAGATTTCAACTTCCTTTGTTCTGTTTTCTACAGCACTGACAGCAGAGACCTAATCTCTGTCTCTTGCTGAGCAGCAAAGTTGGATACCTCCATTGTGTAGTCAGTTTGAGTGTCACAAGTTCTTTTTAAGGGAATGCCTCCTTGGAAGAAAGAGAGCTGAGTTTTAATGTTTTTAACTTGTTAAATAGTTATAACTGGCATTTGCCCAAGTGAATTAGCTTCTGTCCCATAAACATTCCCTGAATAGATCTTATCTTTGTAAACTGCAATCCCTTTATTAAATATAGTTAGTACATGCATCTGCTACACCACCTGATAAGCAAGAAAGGAAATGCAGTGATGACTCTTTCTCCCTTGTGTTTTCTGCCAGGCAAGTTACTAAAGACTGTAGTAGTAGTGTTGCTAAATCCATAACCAAATGTTCTAATACATTCCAGATATTGGCTTATATATGTTGATTATGTTTTTACAAGTAATTTTGCAGTTCTTTAATTCCATAAATATGTTTTAAGCATTTATTACCTGTCAAACATTCACCCTGAGAGCAGGAAAGTAGTGGGATAGAAGATGAAGCAGAGCTGCCCCTTGGAGCATGTGTCCCCCTGCAGCCTTTCCAGTTGAAATTAGTCATCACTGCAGAGGTAAGGACACAGATCTAGCCAAGTGTGCTGCAGCTAGAGCTCAATATCCACCAGATTTTCTCCCACTGAAGCCTGTGTTTCCAAACACTGTCCTCAGAAGGTGACTAAATGCTGCCCAGAAGCCACACTGGAATGCTTGACATGTTATTGAGTTTGTCAGATTATCTGAGGCAATGTCACTTCTCATGACACTGAGGCTCAAGCCGAGAGGAGCCTGCATTTGCCTGCATGCTAGTGTGGATCCAGAGCCAGTGTTGCTTGGGACTGGACTGCCCTGGGTATGTCTTTCCAGGGCTGCTTCTGACCTCTTTGTCTTTCCATCTGGGACTGTCTGGCCTTTTCTTCACTGTTCTTCACTTTAATAGGAAAGCTGATGAGATACAGGGACTCTTTCCAGTCTTCCTGTTTATTAAAATTTTTAAAGTTTTCAATTATAGTACAAAACCTCAGCTATATATTTCACTTATTCAACTATTCCAAGCTAATGAATCAGATCCATGAAATATGGAAAGTCTAGGAATATGATTTTTTTTCCAAATAAATGCTTTGTGTTATAATTCCAAGAACTATGTGAGAAGAATGTGAGTAGATCCTCATCATGACTTCCACAGGAAGATGTTTCTCCAGGCCCATTGCTGCCCTTGAACATGCCTTCTCCTCACTATAAAAATCCTCTTCCAATAGGGGTCTCAGGCCTCACCCAGTTTAAACAGTTTTCCCATCTGCACCAGAACGTGGCAACATGCAGAGACACTGGTGCTCTTATTAAGAGTGTTACCAGTCACTCTAAATTACACACTTCATTTGACACAAGCCAATTGTGTCACCACAGCAGCATAGTTATTAATAATCAGGTAGGGAAGGAATAAATGCTTACTGTCACCCCATAAGCAAACTCCAAACAAGGAGAGATAAGAAGAGGGTTCTTTCTTATTCAAGACCACATGCCCAAAGAATTGAAAGAGCAGGGTATAAGGCTTATGTTTTAACTTGAAGTTTAGTTCTCTTTATATTATATCCAGACTGTAACTTTCCACCTCAGTTATGGGCCCATCCATTTTAAGATTTGCTGAGTTCATGTCCTGTGTATTCATCAGCATCTTTCTGTATAATAACCATTCACAAGTTGTATTACTTAGTAAGAACCTGTTACTGCTCATAACTTCCTACATGGGGTCAGTAGCTTAGATAATCTTGGTTCTGTTGCTTTACATCTTATCTGGAATGATCATATAGTTTTGATAAATAGCTCTAGAGACAAAACAGAAGCACAAAGGCCTGTTGAGTCCAAGTTGGGAACTGTCACTCCATGACTGACACTGTAAACTTCATAACCAGGTCTTTCATATTATATTCTACATATAATTGTTTGATAAAAAGAACCAGGACTTCTAGAAAATGACAAAATTTAATGCAGGAAGAGGAAAACTATAAGTTTGAGATACACTGCTATCCAAAAATCAGGAAATGCCAGCTTGAATGGCCAAGTTGGGAATGTTTGAGGTTTTAAAACAAGTACTGGTTAGCAATGGGTTGTAACACTTACTGATATTCATGGGTGATTAAATACAGAGGGGGCGAGGAACATTAGAATGTTAACACAGGGCCTGGAAAGGTAGGTGTCTCAATAGTTAAGAGCACTGTTTGCTCTTTCAGACGGCCCAGATTTGATTCTCAGTACCTACATGGCAGCTCATAGCCATCTGTAGTCCCAGTCTCAGGGGATCTGACCCCTTCTTCTGGCTACAATGGGCACTATACATATGTGGAGCAAATATATACACCAACATACATAAAATAAAAATAAAGATTAGTTTTTTAAAGAATGGCAATACACAGCACAACTATATATATATATATATATATATATATATATATATATATATATATATATATGCAATGTGATAGAATTTCTAATGTCACAATTTGGCAGCCACATGCAAAATTTGGAAGAAGAGAAATGCCAATAGAAACATGCAGATGAGGATTTGTTTATTAACAGTTTCAAAATATGTTCACTTACAAAATTAAACACTGTTTAAGGAAGAACATGGTAGACACCACCATCAACAAATATTCCAACAATAGAATCTCAAAACCAATTGCCAGCAGAGGTTAGATGAGAACACCATGTAACATGAACGACGTCTTCCCAACAGGGCAGATGTGCCTGGTCTCAGTCTGCCCTTTAGGTAGATAAGGAGATACTTACAAAAACAACTTCTCTTGTCTTTAAGAGAACAAATACTCGAACGTTATGCAGAGGTTGGGGACGCATGCCTCATGTGAAGAGGACAAGAGAGACACCACAACTAAGCCTACCATGTGAAATCATGGGCACAGCTGGCAAGCCTAATGGAATGGATTAACCATCCACACAATAGAGGTCCCTAAAATGAAGGACAGCGTAATCAGAATCCTAAGCCAGAAAATTATTTGGGACATGAGATAGTCCCACCAATGTTTTTTTCAGAAATTAAGCAAAATATAATGAAGAAAGACAGACAATTAATTTTATATTTTCTATGCTGATACAGGGATGTAGAGGGACATACAGCTGCCTAACATGTCATCAGGTTTGTGGACATAAGTGCTCAGATTATACCAGAAGGGTGGGAAGAAGCATATGTACTCTCAGGTCACATCAGTCTGTGTCACATTGAATCTTGCTGATTATTACCTCAGTTCTGGTCACACAGGACATTAGTCTTCAGAAAGCAGCCCCTTCTAGGAACAATTTGCATTTGATGCTGAGCAAATCTCCACTGCCCATGCAGACAATGAGCAGCATTCTTCATTTTCTTTGCAGGATGTGGTCCTGTCAGAGCAGAGGTTCTTAAGGGAAGCTGAGCAGTTGTCCTCTACAAGATGACAGGTCCCGCTTAGGGGACAGTCTCACCAAACAAGGCTCTACTACTCCTGAATGATATTAAGAGAATGAGTGAAGACTTCTGGGTGCCACTCCAAGGCTCTGCAGGAGGATTGCTGGCTGTTGTCAATTTGATAGCCATACTTTAGATTCTCCTGTCTCGGTATCTTCATCCTTGAAAGGGATGATGTCCAAGTTTGCATGTGCACTTACAAAATGATGGACATGCCTGTCTGTAGAGTTGAGCAGGAATCTGACTCAATGTTTGGGACAGGAGACAGGTACAAAATGAATGCAGAGATGTCAAGCCTTGATTTGTTTCTAGTTGCCCCAGGCTTCATCAGTTTCTAGTTGCCCCACACTTCATCTGTTTCTAGTTGCCTGCCATGGATGAACAGACACAATTTACAAGCTAGAGCCTTTGCAAGGGCATCCTGTATGTCCCTGCCTTTTATGTTAGGGATTCAGCTCTGACACCCGATTATATTTTGGAATCTTTTTTTATTTTACTTACATATGTGGGAATGTGTTTTTGTGTACGTATACACAAGTATGTATGTGATGGTGCCCATGGAGGCCAGAAAGGGGCATTGAAGCTCTTGGATTTTGAGTTACAGGGGTTTGTGCATCTCCTGATGTGGGTGCTGAGATCTGAACTCCAGTCCTCTGGTAGAGTAGTAAATAACCTTAATCATTAAGCTATATCTTCCTCAAAAGGGTTCTACAGCAGTCCATAATTTTGCTGTTCAGCCATTGTGTGGTATATCATAGATGTTTGTAAGTGAATTTGAAAAGCCTTGAGACTAGTCATACATTCTCTCAGCCAGCTCAGGCCTCTCATTTCTATTGTCCCACATGAAGACTGTGATCCTGGTGTCCCACATTCCGTGGAACATTCCACATTCAGACGCATGTGAGACATAAATAAACAGCTGGACACAAAGCCCAGGGACAATTCAGAATTTGCAGGAGGAAAATGGAAACACCAGTCCCTGCATGCATCAATGGCAGCTGAGAAAGTATCTCATCTTGTTTTATTTCCTGCAGGAAAGCGAGCTTGCCCCGGAGAACAACTGGCCAGGTCTGAGCTCTTTATTTTCTTCACTGCTCTTGTGCAAAAGTTTACCTTCAAGCCACCAGTCAATGAGAAGCTGACCTTGAAGTTCAGAGTGGGTATCACCATTTCCCCAGAGAGCTACCGCCTCTGCGCTGTCCCCAGACTGTGATGTCAGACACAGAAAAAAGAAAGAAGAGTAGGAAGAACTGAGGAATGCTCTGAGCCACTGGGGCTGCTCATATGTAAAGAGAGAGAAGGAAGGTGATTAGGGAAAGATGGGAGGTTAGACTAAAGTTGTTGGATCCATATCCTAGACTGCTGTGACCTCCAAATTGATGGTGGATAAATCACTTACAAATCTTTTCATCTAAGAGTTGCATTGAGAATGATGGTTCCTCCTGTAAAGAAAGGGCCATATGGCAGGAAAGGAAGTCATATTAGTAACAGCATCTCAAAAAGTGAATCTTCCTTCAACACTCTGCTACAAAGAGACATGTGGGTGTACTACAGTGAACAATGAAAATCAGACAGGACTTTGAGTGATTTAAGCAGAGAAAAAGAAGGTTGCAAAATACCCTGAGTCTTAAGGAGGTCTGGCTAGAAAAAGCTGGACTGCATGTACTGGAGCAGGTGTGGAGGAGAGATGCTCAAGATACATATGAGGCAATATCTGGCTTAATAACTAAGGAGCAAAGGTGACTTCCTGGGGTAGGAAGCAGCTTAGTCAGAACAGAAAGGAACAGAATGTCCAGTCTTTGTCCCCTTGTCCAACCCCAAGCCTGCTGATCCCACTACTGTGCTAAGTGTCAAAGGAAAAATTGGAAAAATATTAGGAACAAGGGCTTGAGGACAGCAAAATGGGTCATGTGATTTCATGAAGCCATTTAAACCTGTAATCTTGTGTTTTCTTCCTTTAAAATGGGGTACAAGGAGCTGAAGAGATGGTTCAGAGGTAAAAGACACTTGCTACTCCTTCTGGCAATCCAGGTCTGAGTCCCAGCAACCAACTACAACCATTTGTAAACACTGGTTCCAGGGACTCTAATTCACTCTTCTGGTCTCCACAGGTATCATTCACATACATGGTACACAGATATTCAAACAAAACATCAATATACATTTTTTTAATTAAAAAAATAAAATAGGTATAAGAGAAGAAATCTTGCCATCTGATGGAAAGGATAAAATTCCAAACTGAGAAATCTTACAAGGTAATGTACTTTCTGTCTTAGGACTCCATAAGGAAATAAGACAAGGTTGCTCTAGTCCCACTCTACCTGTCCCATGACATTTTTTTTAAACATCTATGTCTATTCATCCCAGTTAGACAGAGCACCAATCAACCACAGAGAGTCCAGCTTGGTGAGTCAGTAATGTTTGGAGGCAGGGGGTTGCTATGAAAGCAGCATGGATGATTCAAAGGTATCTGAACCAAACAGTACCCTGCTTAATTGACAGACAACTATGCAACTGAAGAGTCTCTTCCCCATTCCTCATTCTGGGGTTCTCCAACAGGCTTGCACACCTAATAATAGCACAGTAAATATATCTTTTAGGCTTGGGATGGCTCCAGTCCACAGCTGCTGCTGTCCCTGGTAGTCATCCTATGGTATTGGCATCTCCAAAATGCTAAGGTCTCCTTCTATAACTTGTAATACAGCCTAGTTTTAGATCAGCATATGACGACCTGTCCAATGGGTTTCCACAGGGCAAGGCACCGGTGGAAAAAAATGGATTCTTACTTGGCAAGGACCAGTAGTCCATGGGACAGCATAAGAATTTGCAAAATTTGTGCAGCTTGCAGGCTTTTTTCTCTCATTATATTGGTTATTTTTTTGGGTAGTTTTTAGTTTTACTTTGTCAGTCACACATGTGATAGCTGTAGTTTTCTCTGGAAATTCTGCTGTTGCTCAAATATTTTCCCCCAAGATTTGACAGGTGGCTAATGCTTCTGAAATCTCTCATCTGTAATTACTAAGTACAATTCCTAATCCTGGGAACTTTTCTGACTCAATAGAGATAGTTAGGTACATATGAGAAAATGACACTTGAAACATTAACCATATCTCACAATTCTGGAAAAGAGAGTAAGGCATGCAAACATAGAATAGGAGAAAAGCCTCAGGAATACACATAGTGCCAGTGTTGAGAATAAGTTCCCTAGACACCAAGCATAAAATCATTGGTGGGATCTGGTATGCCCCAAGAGGAAAAAAATGCAATGTAAAAATGTGGAATGGATAAATCCCTCTTTACCATACATAGGAGCTCATATTGGTAGAAGAAGTATGGTAGAGTGAGATGGGAAGGGTGCTTTATTGAGGTCTGCCTTTTACAGAGAGAATGAGACACGGGGCCCTCTTGTAGAAAAGGGAACTGTATAAAAATATATCTTATAGACACAAAAGAATTGTTTGAATATTGTGCCCGTGTCAATTACTTTTTAACTTTGAAACCACAAATAGCTGCAAGCTGACATAAGTACTGTGACATCAGAATGTGTCTGACTAAATATTTAGTTAAGCCTGCAAAATGCTGAACTCTATGTCTAGAATATGGTTATGTAGGGGATGGGAAGGTGTATTTGGGGAAGTAAAAAGGGGAATAGTTGGGACTTTCATAATGATCACAATGTATTTCTTAAATTATGATTTCTTTCTTTTTTTTTTTTGTTTTTTTCGAGACAGGGTTTCTCTGTGTAACTTTGCGCCTTTCCTGGGACTCACTTGGTAGACCAGGCTGGCCTCGAACTCACAGAGATCCACCTGGCTCTGCCTCCCGAGTGCTGGGATTAAAGGCGTGCGCCACCACCACCTGGCCTATGATTTATTTCTTAAAGTCAAAAATATAAGCCAATAATAAAGCTGTTCATATAACCCTGGTTTAAAAAAAAAAAAACAAAAAACTCTGTTTAAGTATAAATAAAGACGGCCTGAGCTATTCAGGGCCACTTGAGTGCAACCCACTTGGTGGTCAGAAGTTTTCTTTGCACCAATGCCCCTTCCTTATGTCAAGACTTGAACTCGAGCCAAGGCTGGGCCTTGGTGTAACTGAGCTGCACTTTGACCAATACCTCTCCTGGACTTTCTTCATGGTGCCGAGCTTCATCTTCTCTGCGTGACCCCTTTAATCCTGGGCCTTCAACTGCTACTGAGGCTGCACTTTCACCAATGGCCTCTCCTGACATCTTACAGTTTTAAGGCTCAGCTGCTCTCCATGATTCCTTTATGACTTCAAAACCAGTGTCACCTGGGAGAATCTTACATATGACCAAGTATGGCTACCAACACGAGGTACAACAGAGGCCACCTCTGGAGCAGAGCTTCTGTGCACGGACTCTAAGGAAATATCCCCCAGAAGATTTCACCTCAATGGTGCTGGTCTCTTTCTCATCACTGCTAATTTCTCAGCTCTAGCTGACCAACATAAATTGTCCCAGCAAAACATAGGTTTCTTTTCAGTTGTACTAGTCTCTTGACCAGTGAAGGCTGATTCTTCAGCCCCAGATTACAAGAAACCACAGATTCTTAATTCAAAATACCAGTAGCCTAATAAAATTTTTAAACTTCCCACAAAACTTTACAAGCCAGGCCTCCATCATCTTAACTGCTCTCAGCATTATTATCCAAGGTCTTACTGAACAGCCCACTGAGCTCTCAACACAATTTTTCTATCCCAAACTTCCAAAATTCTTTTATAATCCTCCCCCAAAACAACATAGTTAGGTCTGTCACAGCAATACCCGCCTCCTGGTATCAATTTCCGTCTCAGGGTTACTATTTCTATGATGAAATACCATGACCAAAGGCAACATGGGGAGGAAAGGGTTTATTTGGCTTACATTACCTGAGCCACAGTCCAGGGAGGGAAGCCAAGGCAGGACTCAAACCAGGCACGAATCTGGAGGGGCAGGAACTTATGCAAAGGTCATGAATAATTGCTGCTTAGTATCTTGCTCACTCTGGCGAGTATGGGACACAAAATTTACACCGAAGGAAAAGTCCTGCAGGTGAAAAAGAAAAGGTCAAGGGTGAGTTGGTCGGTCAGAGAAGCTGGAATGGGCAGGTCGTCATGAATCAGTGAGTATATATGGTGGACACAGAAAGCTGAAGACATGACCACCCCACCTGGGAACCTACTTTTTATGAAACCATACTGAGAAAGAGGAACTATCTAATGGAATCATGCAATGGTAGACAGATTAAACTGTAAATGATAATGTCTGAGTTATCTGTTATATAGGAATATTAAAAAGATGATCTGGTTTTATGCTAAAACAATCAGAAAACTGGTAGATCTTGCATGAAATTTTATTAAGAAATAAGGAAGACATAGCCCTGAGATCCTTGTTGTTTGAATCTTAGATGGTCTTTTAATAAAACACCCAGAGCCTGATATCAGGATGAAAGCTGAAGATCAGGGCAGCAGAGCAGCCAGCCACTAGTTCTTACCTCTACGAAATCCTCAGCCTAAAGAGAGTAAGTTCCTTATATGCCTTTCTCTGCCCTGCTGTATTACTTCCTGGGGTTAAAGACGTGTCACCACTGTCTGGTTCTGTTTCTCTCATATAACCCAGTGTGGCCTTGAACTCACAGAGATCCAGATGGATTTCTGCCTCCTGAGTGATAGGATTAAAGGTGTGTGCCACCACTGCCTGGCCTCTATGTCTAATCTAGTGACTGGCTCTGTCCTCTGATCCTCAGGCAAGCTTTATGAGGGCACACAATATGTCACCACACCTGGTGGTATTCACTGAGTGACCTCCTACCTCTCTCTGTGTTATAACCCCATTGGGGTCTTCCTCTTGGCAGAGCATGGTCAGTTGCCTCTGCCCTCTGGTCATCAGCCATTTGAAGCTATTCTGGGGAATGCTTCAGTTGCTTTCCTGACAATCCATTCTCCTTCAGTAGTGAAGAGGGTACAGAGAATCTTCTGATAGTTGTCCCACATGATGATTTAAAAAGATAGAATCAATTAGAGAAATTAAGTAATCAGAGCTAGTGCTGAAATGGGGGTTCTAGTTCTTCAAAGTGTAAAGGTCTGTGGTGGAGAAAGGGACATGCAGGGAACAAAATGACCGTAGTGGAGTGAGGACTGAAGGAGGTGCCGCCCCAGAACCAGAATTGGAGGGAATGTCAGGAGGGCCATATGGGACTCCCTGGTGCATGTAGGGGGGAACAGGTGGAGGTGGGGAAGAACTTGGGGGAGGAGGTAGGGGTATGTACAGATGGGAGGGGGCAGAGTGAGACCTTGATGGTGGGGACTTGGATAGCAAAGGTTGAGGTTGAGGTGAGGAGGGGAAGAGGGTAAATATGGTTATAAGGAGGGAGGAAGGGTTCTTCCTCCTGCGAGTCCTGCAGAATGGTCTTCAGAGGGAGATCATTGGTCTCTGCTACTGGCCCTTAAAAGGTCCATCTGCTGACAACCAGAGCTTGGCCTCCTTGCCCTTTGTGGACCACACAAACCTTCATCCAGGAGGGTGGGTTGGAAGTTGCTTCAGCCCAAGGCAGGATGTATCCAGTTTGATCTGGGTGACTGGGCTTAACCGAGAATGGCATTCACCACTGCCCAGGGTATCTGAGAATTAAAAGTACCCTGGGAGGGTCATTCAACCCCAAGTGTGGACCCTTTCGTTTCACAGAATGTTCAGAGGTGACCTTTGGTGATAGGATAATCATAATTCTCCTTAACTCTAAGGGGTGACGTTCATCAAAATTCTTTAGAACACAGGTTTCTAGGGGGCTGATAGGCTTGCTAGTCTTATACCATACTGTCCATCAGTTCAGTCGCCCAAGTACAAAATAAACCAATTAACACAGAAAGTACAAAAGGCAGAAAAATGAAGCCAAAGACAAGACTAGAGGTACAAAGACAAGACAAACAGGACACAAAACCAGACCAAGAACTTCTGGTGGGCAGTGTGACATCTTGCTTTTTGCCCTGGATGGGAGAATATTGGGGTCCCATTGAATCCTCCCCCATGTTCCAGATAGGGATCCCACCAAACAGAACATCGGCTGATATATGAAATACACACACACACACACACACACACACACACACACACACACACATACACACACACACACACACACACACACACAAACACTTACTATGAACACACAAATATATACTTATATGAACATACACATATTGTTATGGACACAAATCCCAGCATACAGCTGATAAGATCTGTGGAAACAGAATGGAGAAAATAGGAACCATGTTAGTGGGTGGGCATATTGGGAAGACTAACAGCAGGTTTTGGTGCATTTTACCTCAGTGTTTATCCAAATAAAGGTAAGAAATCAAAGAATTTAACAATTCAGCTCAATAAAGGGGGTTGTCACAGCATGGACAGTCCATGTGACCAGGTATGTAAGCCAGTTTAACTTTGTCCTAGGTCAGCGTAAGTGGCAAGACCATAAATGTGTTTATTGTAGCTTATGAGAATGTTTCTTCCTCTGTCACAGACATTTATTGAGGCTTTATAAAGGGTGAGGCTGTCCTACCCTTATCCTCTTGATATAACAGAGAAGAGAGCAGTGTACTGGTTCTCATCAAACGTACATCCAGGTTGAAGGTAGCTCATAATAAACTAATAAATGAGACCTGAAAAATTAAATAACCCCAAGTATTATTGAGGAAAATAAAGCAAGTTTTGACAAACAAATGCTACTGGTGACCTCTAGAGGTTTTGTGGCCAAGACAGGTCTTTCTGAGAGGGATCTGCATTTCACATTTGAGTGTTAAGGATCCAGAGGTGCTGGCTGCCTCTAAGGGAAGGAGAAGGATTCCTCACAAAAAACTGGGTAGTATGGAGACTCTAACAGGAGAAATGTGGTATATTCACCTGGGTAAACAGAGTCATTGTGCTAGCCTGCTCTGTGTCACTGGAGTAAAGTGCAGAAGATGAGCAGCAGAAAATACTCTGGCTCAGAGCTTCAGCAGATTTGGTTAACTGCCAACGGTTACTTGCCATTTTTGCTCTGGGACTAAAATAATATATAATATTATGGTGGACTCACATCACAGAGTAAAGCAGCTTGCCTTTGCTGGTTGTAAAGCAGAGCAATAGCTCACTTTTGTAATAAAGTCCTTCCCTGGCACTCAGTAAAGTACCACCTTACTCTTAGAGCAGAGCAGGGCAGATATCTCACAACAAAATCACTCCCTACAGGCTCTGCCTCTAAGCTATGCTTTGTTGGGGACAAAGCAATTGGTCCAGAGAACATTTAAGAGCCAAATGAAACATTTCAGTACTAACCCCCTAAAGGCTCATGATCCACATAGCAATTTCTGAGTACAAAATGCACTCAGTGTATCTCCAAGACTTTCCATAGTCTGAACATGTTCAGTATCACTCACAAGTTCAGATCTAAAGCATCCTCTGACAGTCAAGGTAAACTGAGCTATGAGCCCATACAAAATAAAAAAGAACTACATACTTCCAAAAAAATAATGAGGTAAACTGACCATTCTCATTGCAAATGAAAAGAAGACAAAATAGGCCAAAGCAACACCCCAATCAAGCAGGACATAAATTAGACCTTTATCTCCATGTCTCACATCTTAGTCACAGAATGACCTTCTATAAGCTCCAAGGGGCTTGGATGCCCAATGCCTCTGGTCTTGCTAACTGCAGGCCATCATATGGCAACTGTCTGGGCTGGGCTTTCCTTAGTGCCTACAGCTTTCCTTGGGAAGGGTTCTTCATTCCTGGCATCTCCAACTTTCTTGAACCTCCTTTGTAGCTCTGGCTTCACTCATGCAGCTCCGTGCAGTGCCTTCTCAGGGCCTGCTTGCTCACTAGGACACTGCCCACTCACACTGGTCTTCCAGGCTTTGAAGATTCAGCAGAAGCTTCGGTGGCCTGACACTTCTTGCATCCTGCCTACTTGCAAAAGTGATACCACATAGAGACGTGGTGAGGGGCGTCGTCAGTGTAGTGGGAACAATAGTTAGGCCGTTGGAGTGTGCTACAGCAGCATCTGAGGTCTTGGACAGATAAACATAAGGACATGAATCCCTGGGAGCCATGCCCTTTGGCACCCTAGGACACCAAGGTGACGCAGCACTGTTTGCTGCCCAGTGTTCATTTTCCAATCAAAATTTCTCAAATATCTGTCTTTACGTCCTTGATCCTGTGGAGAATAGGTTTTTGCTGACTCCTGGCATGACCTCAAGGCACCTTTCCTATTGTCTCAGGTAAAAGTGTGTAGCTTCTTTTAAATGGCACCAATCTCTTTAGCTACTACAGCTCCTTGCCTTAAGTTTACATGTAGATTTTCTCCTTAGTTGCCTGTAAATCTGGCTACAATCATCTAGAAATACTCATGCTGAAGCATGAGTGATGTGCTGCCTTGACATTCTCCTCCATCTCATCCATTAGTCCACCACCTGTAAACTCAGCCTTGGGGAACTCCCAGAGCATGGGAAACATGAGGACACATTCTCTGCATACCATGTTGGCCTCTAGTTCAATATTGAGTAGTCTTCCTTCCTACCTGGAACCTCTTGAGCACAGTCTTTACTACCCACATTCTTATCAGCAGCCTGGTTTCTTGAGTTCCTACAAGAATCACCCCTGAGCACTACTTACAATATTTTGAGTTTTTATAATTTTCCAAACTCATTCCACAGTTCAGGGCTAAAGGTTTCATAATCACATGGTTGGGATGGTCATAGCAACAGCCTAATTTCTTGGTAACAATTTTCTGTGCTAATTAGTTTGATATTGCTGTGATTAAACAACAGTGATAACTTAAAAGAGGGGAGACTCCTGTTGGCTTGTGGTTTCTGAGATCTTGGTGCACAGTCATCTGATTCCATTGTCCTGAAGCCCATGTTGAGGATAATGTGGTATTCAGTGGGGAGGGGAATATAACTCTCAAAGATTTGTGTTCCAATTCCTCCCTCAACAATGCTACACCTTCCAAAGAGTCCCCTACCTTCTAACAGTGACATCAGTTGGGGAAATAAGCCTCCAGCAGAAGAATGAATTTTAGAGAAATATTATAGATCTAAGCTACAGTATTGTTTGTATTTAAAACTTATTTTAAAATTCTTATTTTTATGAAAGTAGAACAACTAAGTTACAGAGCATATATACTTAAGTATTGATAAATATAACTTGATCCTGAGACTAGAGTCCCTACCACCATGTACAAGGATGTTCAGAACCTGTCATTATTTCTTAAGTGAATAAGAGAAGAGTGATTGCATTGTCTTT